TGGTCAGTTGGGTTCGCGCAGAGGCTCAACCACGCGAGGTTCTGGCATTGCCAGTGCCCCGCGACTCCAAGGGTTGCCGAGCCAACCACTGGCGCGCCCTTGGCGTCGCGACGTACGGGTGCGCCCGCGGTTGGCTCGGCAACCCTTGGAGTCGCGGGCTATTGGTATTGCGAGAACCTCGCGTGGTTGAGCCTCTGAGCGAACCCAGGGGGCACCTGCTTCCCCTCGCGTTTCCCCCGCTGCCGTGCTCCTCCAGCCTCTCCTGCTGCTTGCAGCGGCAGAAGGGGCAGCGGCTTGCAGGAGGAAGAGCAGCAGCAACAACAGGAGCAGCAGCTGGAGGAGGCGGAGCAGCAGCAGTGCCAGCAGCTGGCAGCAGCGGCAGAGCATGAGCCTTTTTTTGTGTTGGTTTCTTTTCTCTCCCGCGGCACGCTGCGCACCAGCGGCGCAATCCAGAGCGCCTAGTACGGAGCCCTAGTCTGGAGAACCCTGCGCCGAACGAAGGGAGCGCCAGAGGCAGCCTGCAAGCCATTGCTGTGTGAAAAGATATCAGCGCCAGAGGCAGCCTGGATCAGTCGACGATCCCAGTGCGGTTATTAATCTTCTTGCTGCGTGGCTCTTCGGGGGCCGTCTCCTCGTCGTCGCGGCGGCCCCCCGCCCGCGTCAGAGGCAGCGTTCCCCGCGCCAGAGGCAGCTGGAAGCCATTGCCCGCTTCCGCCAACCTGGATTTCCGAAGCTCGCCGTGCTGGCAGCACAAGCGGCGCGCTGAGTCGCCATTACTTCTTCTTCTGCTTCTCAGGGGGTAGCAGCTTTCGAAGTCGCTCTCGTAGAGTCGTCGCTGCCACGATCTGCAAGAACTGTCCAAGGTGTCCCAGATTCGCTGAAGACGCCGGATCCTGAACAGGCTCTCCACGATCCAGCACCAACGCTCAGCCGCAGGCCGCAGCCTGCGACCACGCCCAACCGGGCCCGCCTCTGACTCAGACTCTCCAGACATCTGAACCCGCGCCAGAGGCAGCGGCACCACGCTCGCGGTTTTGGGGGAGCGCGAAAAGCGATCTACTCGCTTCCGAGAGCCGAAACCGTTGTGGATGATGATGATGATGATGGTGATGATGATGGTGATGACGATGATGGCGATGATGGTCATGATGATGGTGATGACGATAACGACGGTGCGGTGATGATGTCAGCGACGCCACAAATCCTTAATATGACGCCCCCCCGTGGTGGACCAGTCAGGTAGTAGTAGTAGTAGTAGTAGTAGTAGTAGTAGTAGTAGTAGTAGTAGTAGTAGTAGTAGTAGTAGTAGTAGTAGTAGTAGTAGTAGTAGTAGTAGTAGTAGTAGTAGTAGTAGTAGTAGTAGTAGTAGTAGTAGTAGTAGTAGTAGTAGTAGTAGTAGTAGTAGTAGTAGTAGTAGTAGTAGTAGTAGTAGTAGTAGTAGTAGTAGTAGTAGTAGGTAGTAGTAGTAGTAGTAGTAGTAGTAGTAGTAGTAGTAGTAGTAGTAGTAGTAGTAGTAGTAGTAGTAGTAGTAGTAGTAGTAGTAGTAATAGTAGCAGTAGTAGTAGTAGCAGTAGTAGTAGCAGCAACAGCAGCAGTAGGCGTAGCCAAGAGGACGTGCTGTAGCCCCTGTGTTGTCAATGATTTGTGTTCTATGTGTGTGTGATGCTTGCGATTGTGCGCTTGCCTTTGTTTGCATGCCGGGTTGATTCGCTGCAGCGCTCAGGGCAGCATCCTGAGGAGGACGACGAGGAGGAAGACTGGAAAGAGCAGTCGGAGGTAGGCTTCCAAAACATTGAAAAAGCATTGAAGAGACAGTATCAGCAAACACTAAATCCAATCCCACCAGCCTTTTGGGCGACAGGTTCCTCCTCCCCCTCCTCCTCCTCCTCCTCCTCCTCCTCCTCCTCCTCCTCCTCCCAAGCGCCCACGAACCCCACCCAGTCGGTCCTTCTCGCCGCGGGTTTGCGAGTCCAGGGACTCGCGCAGGGCGCTCACCGCCTCGGGCTTTCTGGGAGGCGAGCGCCTCCTCCTCCTCCTCCTCCTCCTCCTCCTCCTCCTCCTCCTTATCCTGCTCCGCCCTCCCTCCCTCCCTCCCTCCCTCCTCCTCCTCGTCATGATCCTGTTCGTCCCCATCCCCCCCTGATTCCCCCTCTCCATCCCCCTTCCTTTCGAGGTGGAGCGCGGCTTCGCGTGACCAGTCCTTTTTGTTGCCAAGCGAGGGGCCGCGATGGAGCACGCCTCGGTGCCCTCTCGTCGTAGCGAGAGAGCACGGCGGGATATTTGTTTGTTGCCGTTGTTGTGCCTCTGGGGGCCCTGTCGTACTGGGCCCCTGGACCGTCTGGAGACGGCTCGAGAAAGACGAACGGGCCCCGGAGAAAAGGCTCGAGACATCCCGGAGTTCGCGCTGTGGGAAAAAACTGGTCGGGGAGGCATTGTACGCCACCAACAGATATACACAGACAACCTCCGAAGAACTTCGTATGTACAATCAGGGAGGGCGGCGGTCTACAACATCGTTGGCTCTCAGTGGTGATTTTTACAACGCCACCCTCCCCGGAGGCCCAGGAACGATTCACTGGAGGGTGTATGTGTACTGCTGCTGTGTCGGATATGGGCACCAGGATATTTCAAGTAGACGCAGCAGGACGCAAACGTGGACAGTGCGAAGGCCCTGCGCTGGATTCGCCCTTTGAAAGGGCCAGCGTGGCCGATCGCTCGAGAGCCGAGCGAGGGCCGAGCGCTGGAACCCAGCGCTCGCCCTGGCCGGCCACGCCACGCGAAGCCAGCTTCCCGGCGCAAGACGGCTCGATCACGGCGGGCTGGCCAATGGCGCTGTCCTCGTGGCCGTAATCGCCGCATCTGTTTTCGTCGTCCGACCAGCCGACCTGGCACGCCGTAGCAAGAGAGCGCGCCGTACAAGCTGTCGGGGCGATGTGTTTCACCGTCTCCCCGCATGTAGGACATAAGCTCCGCGGGAACCTGACAATCGCGATCCATGTGTCTTGGCCGCTTTCGTTAAGAGAGGAGGGAATGAGGAGCAGACTGAAGGGAGAATGGGAGGGGAAGGGCGTTTGTACTGTGATGGCGATGGGGAGGACCAAGTGAAACGGGAATGTCACGTGAAGCGGGTCCACGGCCGAAGAAACGCGACGACATCGGTGCTTGAGGGCGCGGAATGCAACTACTGACGAAACAGTTGTTTGTTCATAGTTATGTGTATATGAAGGAAAAAAACAAGTCTGCCAGTCAATCAATCTGCGAGCCAGTCACCCAGCAAATCACTATCAATCAACCACTCACTAGCATGGCCAATCAATCGATCAACCAAACAATCGGTCAACCAAACAATCCCGCCAGCCCTTTGGACGACAGGTGGTCTGAGGAGGGTATCTTTCCTCTTCCACAACCCCTCTTCCCTTCGGGTAGGGGAACCATCCCCTTCCCCTCCCCTCCCTGAGCTTTTTTGGGGAGAGGTCGCGAAGTATCAGAGGGTCCTTTTTCGGCCCCTGGGAAGGCTAATTTTTCACACCCCTCACGAGGACCGCGGCCCCCGAATGGGGGGGGGGGGAAATCTACGACGGACCCGTCTTTTTTTGACCGACCGCCTCCAAAATGGCCCCAAGAGGCCCTCCAGGGCCCCCGAAAAGATCCCAAGAGGGCCCAAAAAGCGCCCCCCAAAACCCCAAACGGCCTCCAAGAGGCACACGAAAGGCCCCCAAGAGGCCCCCGAGCGGCCTCAGAGAGCCCAGTATGACCTCCGGCATGACTCAGATAACCCACGGTGGCTCAAGATGGCCCCCAAGATGCTCCGAGCGGCCCCAAGGCCGCTCCAAGACGGCTCGAGATGCCCACGGAGCCTCCCAAGCCTCCCTCGCTGTTTGACTACGCGTGGCTCTTCCTCTTTCCCCCCTTCAACTCTCATGGACATCGTTTCTGGATGGGCTGGTGAATATACTTTTTTGATCGCAAGCGCACCGGAGACGCCGGACGCCGTCCGAAAATCGTGACTGGCGAGCTACGGCCTAAATTGCGCACAGGCTGGTGGGGATACTTTTGGTTCGCGAGCTCGCAAGGGTGCCAGGCGCCACCAGGGAATTGCAAACTAGCAAAAACCTGAATTACCCACTAAGTTCGCAGGAGCGGGCTACACTGCGACTCAAATGCGGGAGACCCAGAACAGCTCCAGGCCAACGTGCAGCGCCAAAATGGCGAAGAGCAATATGCCGTCGAACTCGAAGACCACCAGGAGGTCGTAGAGGGCGATGAACAAGGTGGCAGGCGCTCGACGGAAGTTTACCGGAACGGCATGCGGACAATCTCAGGGCGCCCGGAGCGGCCGCGGAGAGGGAAAAGTATGCAGCCCGGCGACCAGGGTCGGGGGGGGTCCCAGCGACCTCATGTACAAAGCAAAGGCGGCGAGGGGAACCATGGGCGGCCAACGCATGGCGAAGACCCCAACTCTGCAGAGCATGCCTACGAAGCGTATGGACTCACCGAAGACGTCAATAATTAATCAAGCATTGAGTCGTTCAGTCGAGTCAACACTCAATCAAGCAACCAACCATGTAACCAACGATACAATCGATCGCATCACTCAGCCACTCACTCAAACGCAGGTTCAATCGCTCAATCAAACTGACACTACGGCAGATCGACCGACCAACCAATGAAACAGCCGATCAATCGATTCCGCGACCAACCAGCAAAGCAACTAACAAACTTGGACTCTGACTCAATCAACTATGAGATGAAGCGGCCACTGCACCACTTGGTCAATCAAGCAAGCATGAAACATCTAGTTGATCAATAAGACCGCCGAGTCGCATTTTTCGGTCTCACCCCTGCTCACGCACCGCCTGGTGCAAATCTTACCTGACCTGACCTGACCTGACCTGACCACCATCCGAAGGAAAACGTACCACGTCAAATCAAACTTGCCCCCGAAGCAGCCCTCTCCTCCTGACGCGCCGTGTGCTGTTGCTGCCCCGCCAAATCTTCCTACATGGCTTGCCGTGACACTCCCGCTCCTCATCCCCCTCCTCCTCCTCCTCCGCCTCCTCCTCCTTCTCATCATGGTCCTGCTGCTTCTCATCCTCCTCCACCTCCTTCATCTTGCCCTCATCCCTCTTGTCACGCTCCGAATTGCCCTCCTCCTTCTCCTCTTCTTCCTCCTCCTCCGCCTCTGCTGCTCATCGCCATTACCTTCGTCCTCCCCTCACTCTCTATCTTCATCCTCCTCCTCCTGCTCTTCCTCATCTTACTGCCACAACGTCCCAATCTTCCCTCTTTTCCACCTCTCCTCCGTCTCCATTTCCTCATTCCCCCCTCCTCCCCCTCCCCCCACCTCCCCCTCCTACGCCCCATCCGTCTCCTCCTCATCCTTCTCTCTCTCTCTTCCCCCGTCATCTTCGTCCTTCAGGTCCAGCCTCCTCCTTCCGTCCCTCCTCCCTCCTCCACCCCCTGCTTCCACTCCCCCCTCTCCTCCTCATCCTGATATTGCTCCCCCCCCCCTTCCCCTCGTCTACCTCCTCCTCCTCCTCCTCCTCCTCCTCCTCCAGCTACAGCCTCCCACTTCTCCCCCCGACGACGACGACCACGACGACGTCGCTGCTGCTGCTGACGCGTGCGCGCGCCCGCACGCGTGGGGACGCCAGCGGGCTTCGCAGAACCCTCGTCAGGCCCACGGAACCCTTCGAAACCCACGCGCGTCCGCGCAAAAGGGAGTGCCACCTCCGCGCGCGACCCCAAGCGCCGCCAACGACGACGACGACGACGACAACGACGACGACGACGACGACGACGACGACGACGGCGACGACGACGACGACGACGACGACGACGGCGACGGCGACGACGACGACGACGACGACGACGATGGCGACGACGACGTTGCTGCCGCGCGCCGGACCCCTGGCGCAGGCCCGCGAGCCTCCTCGCGCGCCGCGCCCTCGCGCCGCAGGGCATCCTGGAGAGGAGGGGCGATCGTCGCGCAGCGGCCGCCCCCACGGCCGCCGTCGTAGTACCCGTGGGTCGAAGAAGTGGGCACGTTAGGAGGCAACTGCTAGGAGGTCTTCGTCGGAAGGGTTAACATAATAAATCCCCATTGGGGGGCTGCTACGCAGGATAAAGCCGCGGAGCGACCGGCATTAAGCCAGATTAAGCGGGACGAAACCAAATTAAGCGGGATCAAAGCCGGATTAAGCCGGATCTCCGACCGAGGCAAAATCAGAATTTGAAGAAAGGGGCATGTACGGTAAATTCGTGCGGCATCGGCCAAGGTTGAATTCAGTCGGGTCCAGGGGCGTTACCGCGTCGCAGAACTGAACCTTGAACGCCTTCGCCGGCGTCGCCAGCGCACCAACGCCGCATGAACCTACCGTAGACACATGAAGTAGGAAGGCGTTGGAAGTAGATGGGCCTCCGCCCACCCCATGAAGAGGAAAAAGGGGAAAACCGCTGGACTTTTGAATTTGGAAGGCGCCTGGAGTAGATTGGGCTTTGGGCATCCAATCGAATCTACCTTCAACGACCGACGGATAAGGATGCGCTATAAGGATGCCAGGGCCTTGGACGCCCATGCCGAATCTTTCCGAGCGGGGCGCGGCCAACAAAAGTGGTTGAGGATGGACCGAAGATGACCGAAGAGGCAAGGATGCTAGGGAACCATTGGGAGGTCGATCATCCTTACAGGCATGTTTGAATGTGTTGCTCCGACGCCACGCTGCATGCGATGCACGACCAGTCAACATCGAATCGGGAAACCAGATCGGATCGGCGTCGGATCGGGCCGCATCGGCACGGAGTAGAGATCGAATCGGATTGGCTGCGCCAGGATGCACAATAACACCTACGCAAGCATCGGAACCACGACATTTCGGAATCGGATCGGATCGGCCTGGCAAACACTGAGATCGGATCGGACTGGTCGGGCCGAAAATCGATCCTGCAGACGGCGGTCATGGATAACTTCCGCCTCGGCAGGTTCCGTCGTGTGCTCGCGTGGCCTCCGCGCTCTGCCGGACCCCCCCCCCCCGGGGGCGCAGGAGCGCGGCGGCGGCTGCGCAAGCCCCGCGGCGCCCCAGGAGGTGGCCCGGCCTCGTCGGGGGCGCGCGCCCTCTCCGCTGGGCTCCCAAGAGGTCGCCAGGCCCGCCACACCGTCCTGTCTGTGTGTTGCTCGTCCTCCTGTCTGCTCCCTCCTCCTCCTCCTCCTCCTCCTCCTCCTTCTGCTCGTCCTCCTGCTCTCGCCTCCCCTCGTCCTCCTGCTCCGTCATCTCATGTACCTCCTATTGCTCTTCCTGCTGCTTGCTCGACCTCCTTTTCCTCCCTCCATCCTCCAGCCCCCCGGGAGGAGAAAAAGAGAGAGAGGAAGCGTGACCAGGTCAGGAGGATGATGAGGGGGAGGACGGGGAGGAAGGAGGAGAAGCAGGGAGAGGAGGCATGAGAAGCAGGATGAGGCTCTCCTTCCCCTCGACTTCACCTGGCCAAATCCTCCGACTTCCTGGTCCTTTCCCTCCTCCACCTCAGGTCCAATCACGACGCGCTCGACCTTCTCCCACTCCTTCCCCCCTCCTCCTACAGCCTCGGAGAAGTTTTATCCTACCGCGGCCACACGCCCATGCCGATCCATAGCGCGCTGGGAATGCCCACGCCAATGCCGCCCGCCTTTTTGTAACGCAATCGAGTTATATGCGGACCACAATGGGTATTCATGGCACCGTCCTGTAACTTCGGTTTGTACACGCGCACCATGGCGTTTTACTTGACCGTTCAGCGTTGAAAAACGTGACACGTCCCACTGTATGTTGAGACCGCATGTAGACCTTAACGGATGTCACCCAACCATACAGACATTCGATAATTCTCTTGTGCAACGCCAGCTCGAACCACCACCGCAAATTGTGAAGACGTTTCGGACGAAACGGAGCCGAAACCATGCCAAACGAGCGAGACAGCATGCAACTTATGAAGACGTCTCAAGCGAAACTGGTCTGAAACCAAGCCAAAGCAGAGCCAAACCAAACAACTTCTGAGAACGTGCAGCGAAACTGGGCCAAAACCGTGCCAAATCAGGGCAAAACCAGACAAACGTCTCAGGCGGAACTGGACCCAAACCAGGCCAAACCAGGGCCAAACCAAGCAAATCGCGAGGAAATCTTCAACGAAATGGGGCCCAAACCATGCCAAGCCGAGAGGCAAACCGGGCGAATCTTGAGGATGCCTCCACTCCAGCGAGGCGCGCGGCCAAACCACGTCAAATCAAGCCAAACCACAGGGGCCGAATCAGGCAGGTTTTGAAGAACTCCCGAGCAGAACCGGCCAAACCAGGCTGTATCCACTCTCCGTAACAAAATCCGAACGAAAGGAGTGGATCACCCCAGGCCACCCCCCCGCATGCGGAAGTCCGTTTCGAATTTTCTGGAGGAGGCGTTTGGACCGCGCGCCTGCGCCTTTTCCTTGTCCTCGTAGTCCCTCTCACCTCCTTCAACTTCTTCATCTTCTTCCTCCTGCACCTCCTCCGTTCCTCTTTATCCTCCACTTCCTACTGCGCCCTCACGTCCGCCCTCCTCCTCCTCCTCCCCCTCCTCCTCCTCCTCATCATCATCATTATCACTCGGACAGGGATATTCTCGAATATTATAACGGTGATGATGATGGGGGTGATGATGGTGATGGTGATGGTGATGACGGTAGTAACGATGATGATGGTGGTGATGATGGCATGATGGTAAGATGATGATGGTGATGATGGTGATGATGGTGATGATGGTAATGGCGATGATGGCGAGGCCGTCGTCGACGTCGTCACCATGGCCAACACTCCTGCCTTCGTCGTCGTCATTGCAATCGCCGCTGTGACCGTCGTGGTCGTCGTCGTGATCGTGGTCGTCATGGTCGTCGTCGTCATCGTCGTCGTGATTGCGTCGTCGTGATTGCGTCGTCGTCGTCGTCGTCGTCGTCGTCGTCGTCGTCCACGTCATCGTCGTCGTCCACGTCATCGTCGTCGTCGTCGTCGTCGTCGTCGTCGTCCACGTCGTCGTCGTTGTCGTCGTCGCCGGGGGGTCCCCGAGCGCGTCGTGCAGCGCGTCGCGCTGCCCCAGCAGCCGCGCGCTGAACCCGTCCAGCTCGTGCTGCAGCGCGGCCCGCGTGGCGCCGACGGCAGCCTCGACCTTTGTGTCCTGAAGGGCGGAGGACGGCAGGGTCAGCCTCCTCCTCCTCCTCCCTCCTCCTCCCTCCTCCTACTCCTCCTCCTCCTCCTGGCCCTCCTGCACGGGGGGGGGGCCGTTGTGCCAGCCTGGCAGGGGAGGAAACGTCCTGTCCTGGCTGCTGGGCGGCGCTGGAGGAGCCCTCCTTCCATCCTGAAGCGGAGGGAGCCCAGGCCCCCACAGACTCGCAGGCGAGCACCCGCTCCCGCCCAACCCCGCTCCCCACGTCGGAGCAGGAGGAGAGGGGGAAAAGGGGGGTCTCGGATGTCACCTCCCTTGGGTTGCCGCCCCACGGACGACAGCGGGGAGGATGAGGATGTCTGGTTTTCCACCTCCACGGGCAGACGCACTGCACAGTCCTGACAGTGCCGCTCTGAACAGAGCGGTCGCAGCACAACAGGTGAGAAAGTATGCAACAAAAAGGGTCTCGGATGCCACCTCCCTTGGGTGAGGGGGGAGCGCCTCCTCCGGGCGGCGAAGGCGTCGCTTCGCAAGATGCACGACGTGCACGGCGACCTCCTCTGCGCCCTCGCGGCCCTCAAGCGCGCGGCGCCGGAATACGGGCGCGCCGCCGTGGCCACCCGAAGCTGTGGGGGGCGGCGCGCCGGCGCGCCCCTGGGGGCGCTGCCTCAGGACGATGCTGATGATGACGATATATGACGATGACGATGACGATGACGATGACGATGACGATGACGATGATGATGATGATGATGATGATGATGATGATGATGATGATGATGATGATGATGATGCTGGTGATGATGATGCTGCTGATGCTCATCATCATCAGCATCATCATCATCAGCAGCATCAGCAGCATCAGCATCAGCATCAGCATCAGCATCAGCATCATCCTCCTCCTCCTCCTCCTCATCATCATCATCATCATCATCGTCATCATCATCGTCATCGTCATCATCATCAGCTGGGGCCCGCACGGCCTCGCGCCCTGAAGCAATCACGGCGGAAGGTGCTCTGCCATTCTCGGCCGCCTGGCGGCCCTCGCCGGGCCCCAGTAAAAAGCTGAATATCCACCCTCATAAGCATCACCCCGACACGCGAAGCCGTTTAGTAAGCGCGCCCAGAGAGGGAATCAAACAGGGCAGGGCTGTTTCGTAAACGCCAAAAGCCGTCTAGCAAACTCCAAGTATCGGGTCCAGGTGGTTTTTCCTCCCTGAAGGGGTCTAGACCTCCAGGGGCTCAGCGAAAGCACTTCGGGTCTGGCAACCGCGGCACGCAGCTGTTCGTCGGAGGCATGGGGCGGGATACGCACTCAGGGAACACCAGTACACTGTGGGCCTGGCAGCCGCGGCCTTCGTTGTGTGCGAGGCAGGTCGGGGGCTGTCTCCTTAAACCTAATAGCCCCGACCTGGCGGACACCGCGGGCCCGTGGGGCGCCGTCGTTGCGGTAGCCTGCCGCGGCGCGGCCGTGGAGCAGGCTGCGCGGGTGCACCCTGCTGGGGGCGCGCGTTTGTCCGAGGGGCAGCTCGCCAAGCAACGCTCGCGTCGTGGAAAAAAACGACAGACGGCTTCTGGTGTCCAAGACACTTGAGATATGCTCGCGGAGGAGGAGGAGGAGGAGGAGGAGGAGGAGGAGGAGGAGGACCAGTGTAAATCCAAGAGTCATCAACGATGTTGGAATTGGCCCTCCCTCCCTCCAAGCTCCCTCTTCATAGGCCCCTACAACGGTTCATTTCCATTGAGGGAACTTATCTCGGGATCTCAACGCCACGGATCAACCAGACTGCTGCGTCTTCACGATCCGGAATCGTGCCAGAACGCCGTTTTTGGGATTTCAACGCCGCGAATCAACATAGCTGTTGAGCCCGCATAGCCCTGTATTTTTGGTTAAAGAAAAAGCACAATCTCTGGTACGTTGATCATGGGAGCCCGTGAAACTCTTGCAGTTGTGTGGAACGAATGTGCGCGGCGCTAAGGCAAGAGCCACATGTTGAAAACGACCCGCCCTCAACCCGTGAAACTTTTGCAAATGTTTAAAACGAATGTGGGCGGCGCTAAGGTGAGAACCATAGTTCGAAAAGGAACCGCCCTCAATCCGTGAAATTCCTGCGCATGTTTAACAACGAATGTGCGCCGCGCTAAAGCGAGAACCACATTTCGAAAACCACCCGCCCTCAAACCGTGAAGATCTTGCAATGCTTACATCGAGTGCTCGCGGCGCTAAGGCGAGAGCCACATCTTGAAAACCACATGCTGCCCTCAGTCAGTGAAGCTCTTGCAGATGCTTAAAACGAGTGCACGCGGCGCTAAGGCGAGAGCCAAATTTTGAAAGCGCCCCGCCCTCCATCTGTGAACCTGTTGTCATTTTTACGCTTCAGAGTCGTAAGTGGTGAAGAAATATCAGGCGAAACGCCCGGCCGGCCCTACAAACTAGCCTCGAGGTTCGACAGGGAGAAGTTATCTATAAGGAAGAGGAATGGAGAGGGAGGAGGAGGAGGAGGAGAAGAGGAGGAGAAGAGGAGGAGGAGGAGTCGTGAAAAAATCACGGCGGACGGATTTTGACGGCTTTTCGGCGTCCAGAGGCCCTCGCTGGGCCCCACGCGCCCTGCCGCGGGCACTGATGGAACTGGAAGCGGGGCCCTGGAAACCGAGGGAACCCTCGAACCTGCCGCGGAAACTCCTGGGGCCCCGCGCGGGGCTGAGGACCCCCCCCCCCCTGCCCGCAGCGCCCCATCAGACCCGCGACGAGCACCTCTGCGCGGAGGGCACCCTCGGGAGTTGCTAGAAGTGCCCCTGGCCCAAGGTGCCGCCAGCTTTTCGCTCCATTCTGCAGCCCCTGGGACCCTCTGGGCCTCGTGTGGGGTGCTGTGGAGGCCTGGGGGGCATCTTGGGCCAGGGGCATTTCTAGCAACACCCGACGCCCGCGGGCAAACTCAGCCGCGTCTTGGGGCTGCGGCGGGGGGGCGCCCCCACGCGGCTGCGCGCCCCGAGGCTGCGGCGGCGGCGGCGCGCCGTGAGGCGGCCGCGCGCCCCGAGGGGGCGGCGGCGTGGGCCTGTCTCTGCGAGGGGTCGGCCAGGCCGCCGACTGCGGTGCACGCGGGGCAGCCTCGACTGCTTGGCGAGCGTCAGAACCAGCCGCCCTCGCGGTCCTTCCGCTTTCAAGGAATACCAGAGATCTGAGGCTCCCGACGTGTACGGCCCGCCAGAAACAGGATGGGCACATGAACTGTACGTTTCCATTGTTCCCCGAGATATGAAACACCTGCAATTTCAGAGGTCTCCCAATATCGAGACTGGTAACGGCTCCAACCTCCTCACGCTGGCTGAAAAATC